GTGACCTCTAAAATCCCTGTGATATGGAAATGTGTTTGACAATCGGAAAATTCACAAATGTGAATTACAAAAAATATATTGACAACTTACCAAAAAGAAAGCTCTTAAAAAAACAATGGCAACTATGGTTACAGAGGTTTCCCTTAGAAAATAAATTAATCTCATCGCGTTATCACCTGTAATTAACAACAGCACATATATATGGTAAACAATATAGCATGCAGTACACAATTAAAATCTATTCGTATTTTTTCACCTTTCACAGTGAATGTGTCAAGAAAGGATGCCACTGCCGGAGGAGTGGGTACCTAATAATGGCGAGACGCAGAGAACCATGCTTAGCAGAGTATTTTTTTTTATTTTGGGGATTTTCATATTCGATATAACATATCAATGACATAGTAATATAAAGTTAGATAGAAGGGAAACAATAAAATTATAAAAACTATACAATTCTCACGACGTTTCGACTGCAACACAAGCAATCATCATCAGGTGTGAAAAACCACAGCAATAATTTTTTTAAAAAGTGGCAGTTATTTTAACGTTAGCACCAAGGAGAGCGATTTGGCAGTTATTCAGATGGACGAGTCCATCTATGTTCAGAAAAGAGGGAGGGAGACGAAAATAATGGATGTGGTCTGAAAGCCACCGTAAGCGTAAACAATCAATTAAGACCCGACATGGTTTATCAAATCCTTCCAATGATTGCTAACCCATAATCCATCTTCTCGGTTGAAATTGTCTCTGTGTTTGTATATGTGGATAGCCTCATGAACGAATCTCTCATGGTAGCCAGATGGCTTGCAAAGAACCTCTGTCTTGGAGAAGTCAATGTCATGTGAGCCTACTGAATTATAACAGTGATCTGCCACGGCCGAGGTGTTGGTCCTACCGTGTTTTAGGTCTGCTTTGTGTTCACGAATGCGGTCCGAGACGTGTCGTCTCCCCCCTTCTCTTTTCCGAACATAGATGGACTCGTCCATCTGAATAACTGCCAAATCACTCTCCGTGGTGCTAACGTTTAATTTAAAAAAACTTGCTACATTTTGCAAAATTTCTTGCTGTGGTTTTTCACACCTGATGATGATTGCTTATGTTGCAGTCGAAACGTCGTGAGAATTTTATTGTTTTATATTTTTTATTATTCTATTGTTTCCCTTCTACGTGACTGTACCGAAAGAACCAAGAATATGAATCCCTGCAGTCACGAAAGCTTTAAATAAAAATAGTAATATAAGTTAAAGGTCCAGCGCTCCAATTGCTTGCTGATACCAATGCTGGCAGAAAAAAAACATCTCCAATCAAGGGAGCTGTAGAGAGCCCCTCTTTGTTCTGTATTTGGCCTACTCTTCCATACTATCCAGATGCCTTGGAATAGGTGAGAGTACCCACAATTGACCCCATCACAGGCGATCTGCCAATCAACTAAATGTTGTCTTCACATGCATACTGCTGGGTGGACAGAGGCGGAGTGAATAAAAAAAAAAACACGTCACATTGTTTCAGCTGCTGCCATGCCAGCAGACCGAACTGCGACCTCTAGATCGCATGTCCGCTGTGCTAAACGTTACACCATGGGGAAGACGCCCATTACAATTCAATATTTAACTGTCAATGACGATACAGAATATCAATAGGCTCAATAGCATGTTTTCCGATTGCTTTGCTGGGAGATTGAACTCCGGTTTTCAAGTCCCGTGTGTTAACCACCACACCACGGCACCACCCCGAACGTAACATTACTTGTCCCCGTTTGTATCGAGCCATCTAACTATCTATCTATCCATCAGCTCTCTGATTGGATGAAACCAGATGATGTGGGTTTGGCCACTGCTCAAGGCAGAGCCCAAGGTTTGAGAGCAATGATGGCGGCATGCTAATTCAGAGTGGCGGCCACGGGTTTAATAATGGAAAACGTCACGTTGACATGCGTTAATTTAATCGGTATCAGGACTGTCTGAGTCCAACATATGGCTCAGCCTGGGATAAATGGGATGTTGGGAGGAAGAGGAATCAATTAGAGCAATACAACATCTCAAAGCTCACAATACGTGCATTGAATCGTGTATTTAAGATCCGATGTGTTTTGATCCCAATGTGTTTGTTGCATGTAATGTGTTCACTTGACCTCTGTAGCTACTAGAGGTGCTACCATTCACTGCCAAACGTAAAAAAAAATATTTACACAAATCGGTACCATGAACCATAATCTATTGAATCGCTGGGGTGGGGGCATTTTTACACCCCTCTATAATTGTAAACTGTTCTATCATGAAAGCATTTCAATCGTTTCAACGATTTCCTTATGTTCGCAAAAAGGCCAGTGGTTGTCAAAGGAAATAAAAGTTATGGTGAGCAGATGCGGTTTTATGTTGTGCCATTAACCTCCAAATCTAAATTACAAATATGAAAAAGCTCCATATATTGCTCATCCACATGAATGCCCACCGAGGAAACGTCCGTGAACCCGTTCGCTGTATTTTGTTAATAAAAATCATTTGGAGCCAGCACAGATTTCAGAGCATTTCCTTGGAGCAAAATTGAGTCTAATCAGCAATCTTTATGCAAATATATTCACTTTATTAATCATGCATTTGCGCTTGATTTCAGTGCAATATGGACACTTTTATATGCCAAGTCCTGGGATGAGACCCATTAAAGTAAATAGACACGGCGAGAACGCTGCGTTTATAACAACGTCCTTACCGCTGCCAAATAACCAAACGGGCGCGACTACCACCCTCCAGCTCTGCTTGAGACTATTCTGACATTCCCAGCAACGGTCCAGTCCACATTACAAACTAATCCCGCCGCTTGGCTCGCTAAGATTCGCTCGAGTCTCGCCCAGGGCTACGGACAACCAATTTTGTCCACCAATTTCACCGAGAGTGATGCATTCCGCCGTTACGGAAGCAGCATCTGCCGAAACGACGTTAGCAGGGCGCCGCCGTCGGGGCCAAGCTCTGCCCGGCGGCATTTACCCACAATCCTCTCCCCACCTCTGGAAAAAAACCTCCCCATCTTCCCCAGCTAGCCCCGCAGAAACACCGACGTTCAGCGAGCAACGATAGCGATGATGGAGAGAGGCTTTGAAGGCCATTACGATGATGATAAATAATTGGCTGAGACGCCCCCCCCCTCTCGCTCTTTCTTTTTCATCGTACAGTGAGTGTATATACACATGCAGTTGATATGCTACTTCTATTTTGTTTGCCTCTACCGCTGAGTTTGGTCTACATATCGGGTGGCCTTCTCCGAGGTCCACCGCCAAGGAAATGTGGCCAGATGGAAGAGCTCTGGCTTTTAAAACGCTGTGCCAGTAAAGCCGCACAGGTGCGTAGAAGCACAATGATCATGGTAAACAGTTTTAAACGTAAAAAAAGAGAGAAAACCGCATTATTTGTTTACGGAACTGATCTTTGTTTATCGATGCGGTATATAAAAGTCACCGTGGTGTATAACGTTGGCACATGGTTGGGGTTTTTGCGCGCGGATTTCTATGCAATGGGCATGTGCACAGAAATTAATTTGTCTTCGCCGAGTGTAATATTCGTAATGTAAATAAGTGACATTTGAGTTGATCAGACTGTTTGTTCCGCTCTCAGTCTGATATGTTTTCCTCTTCTGAGAAACCACATTGCATTTTCAGAAAAAAATAAGTACATTGCTAAAAGAAAAAACTAAACAATCAATCTGTCAAGCAATTTGCTCTTCACTTTACCTAATTTCATTCATTCACAAAATGGATCGCCCCTTAAAAAAATGGAACAACCCACATTTCAAGGCCACGCACATTTTTGCTTGGATTAATGCACTAAATTTCAGGGGTGTTAAAGGTAGAAGACATCCATGATTAAAGTATGAACCTTAATATGCTGAGTGGATCACTGATGACACACAATTGCGGGCTGATTCGTGTGCAAATATAATAATAGATCTATACTCATATGCATTAAGCTCATTGGGGGTACAAAGGTTAAACAAATCATGTTGGAATAAAAGGATGGTGAAATTTTCGAAAGATGATTTTCAGCCACGAGTGGCAGTTAAATTGGCAAGGGTAGGTGGTTAATATTTGTTACATTCAATCCCCTCTTAACGATATATCAACACTGATTCACCTTCACCTGAGAACGACGTTCCATTATATCCTGCACATCGGAATCAACGAAAGCCCACTGAAAGGCAAGGATACTGTTCTGTCAGTTGTCTGATTTCTTTTTCCTACAGCAGCACAATATTGGGAGGGACCCTAATGATCGGGCTAAGGTTAATAAATCATGACCGTTGTCTGCCATGCTTAATCTACCGCTGGAATAAGTGCTCCCGATGCTGATGCCACTGGCTTTATGCAGCTCTTAATAACCTTTCCGCCAATGTGTCTGCCCCTGACCTCATTCTCACATCTTTGCCTTTGATCATCTCGTCATTGCTATGCCACAAGGACCCTTGAGTTTTATTGGCTCTCCTAATCAGTTACATCTCAGATTAGTTTTTTAAAAATAGTTTTCTTGACTGTGTATCATTTTCCTCGTAATTGCCCTATTTTGTTTGCGGAATTTGCATGACAAATGAGAATGTACAAACATCAGTGTAGAGTCACTCTCTAGCTGCACCCATAATTGTGTGATCAATAAATACATAGATCCATGCCGTTCTCAATGCAACTATAGATGAAGGCCTGCCCAGGCAATGACAGTCATGGGTGTTTTTTTGTTGTTTAACCATTCCTCACCACGTTGGTCAGTGCGTGTTAATGAAGAGGAGGAGGGTGGGGGTGATATCACTTACTACTTATTTTGTGTCGTGGCCAGGAACATAACTCTGGTAACCGGGATTTAAGCCACCACTGATAACCGGTGAGCCAACACAGATTTTTGTTTTGTTTTTGAGACATTGTGTCGTACTTATCTCAGTTACACACGAGCCATATACAAACACAATGTGGCATACGTGAATACTGTTTTTCAAAGCTGTCCGATGGGAGTTATTCTTACCAGCAGTTTCTTAGCTCTAGCGGCAGCCGTGGGTTGTGTAGATCTCTTGATGTCAGCATGCAGGATCGGGGACGTACTAGGATCGTGATACTCACACCCTTGCCACCGCTTGTCCCGCAGTCGCACCCTCCTGCACATCGAAACAGCAGGCAACCTTTGTAGATGATGCTCCAGCAGAAATGGTCTCCATTCGAGGGACGAAACAAATCAGCGAGCCTATCTAGCACAGCGAGCGCTATTCCGAATGAGCAGACAAATAGACGAGAGCAAAACTGCAGTGAAGTAAACTCTGGGATGTTGTTCAGAAGTCTAATAAATACGTCCTAGTTGTATTTGGTTGCTATCGTACGGCCCATTCAGTACAAGTGTACGGCGCAATGATTAAGGATGCATAGCAAGCAGCTGTTTTAAAATGTAATTCCGCTAAGATCCGCATGTTTCTTTCCTAAGTTGTTGGTGTTGTCATTATCACACAAAGTTATCAAGCCAAAGGCACACATTGCGAGTATTGCATTTGCCCATGACTTTCAAGGTGCTCTGCCACAAATAAATGACATTGCTAATTCTTGTAATTTGCATGCAAAGTAAGAACCATATATCTTTATTTTAAGTTAATTATGCTGTAATTTAAATGCTTATTGTAAAAAAGCCACCATAAGTCCCAAGTCTAGGCTGGTGTGTCATTCATATATAATATATTAATTTTTTTGTTTACTATTAATTACTACAAAGACAGCCGTGTTCTAATTAGGCTCATTAGTGACTGAATCAGTAATCTCGCTCACGTAGACTTAATGCCCTAGATGAGACAAGTTTGATCTGGCACGCTGTGCTCAAAGAACTGTAAGCACGCTCACAGGTCCATGCTCAGAGATCCACGCTCAGAGATCCACATTCACAGGTCCACGCTCAGAGATTTACGCTCAGAGATCCACGCTCACAGATCCACGCTCAGAGATCCACGCTCAGAGATCCACGCTCAGAGATCCACGCTCAGAGATCCACGCTCAGAGATGCACGCTCAGAGATCCACGCTCAGAGATTTACGCTCAGAGATCCACGCTCAGAGATCCACGCTCAGAGATCCACGCTCACAGATCCACGCTCAGAGATGCACGCTCAGAGATCCACGCTCAGAGATCCACGCTCAGAGATCCACGCTCAGAGATCCACGCTCAGAGATCCACGCTCAGAGATCCACGCTCAGAGATCCACGCTCAGAGATCCACGCTCAGAGATCCACGCTCGCAGATCCACGCTCAGAGATCCACGCTTAGAGATCCACGCTCAGAGATCCACGCTCAGAGATCCACGCTCAGAGATCCACGCTCACAGATCCACGCTCAGAGATCCACGCTCAGAGATCCACGCTCAGAGATCCACGCTCAGAGATCCACGCTCAGAGGTCCACGCTCAGAGATCCACGCTCAGAGATCCACGCTCAGAGATCCACGCTCAGAGATCCACGCTCAGAGATCCACGCTCAGAGATGCACGCTCAGAGATCCACGCTCAGAGATCCACGCTCAGAGATCCACGCTTAGAGATCCACGCTCAGAGATCCACGCTCAGAGATCCACGCTCAGAGATCCACGCTCGCAGATCCACGCTCAGAGATCCACGCTCAGAGATCCACGCTCAGAGATCCACGCTCAGAGATCCACGCTCAGAGATCCACGCTCAGAGATCCATGCTCAGAGATCCACGCTCAGAGATCCACGCTCAGAGGTCCACGCTCAGAGATGCACGCTCAGAGATCCACGCTCAGAGATCCACGCTCAGAGATCCACGCTCAGAGATCCGCGCTCAGAGATGCACGCTCAGAGATCCACGCTCAGAGATCCACGCTCAGAGATCCACGCTCAGAGATCCATGCTCAGAGATCCACGCTCAGAGATCCACGTCTGTGATGTTGGCCTGTTTACTCATCAAGCTTAGAGTAATTTGAATAAATGGTAATTCTAATTCAAAGTTGAAATTAAATTGTTTGGGGCTTGATTTTTTTAGCTTTCATCTACTTGCAATAAGTGCTTCATAGGAATATAAAAATATTGCCTTCATAAAGCCGATATTACATTACCTTTAGGTGGCTCATGTTATACATCCACAATGGCACATTTCAGTTCCAACGACTGCCTTTTAACTAGTATAGCTAGAGAGCATCAGCTGATGTCATATGATTGTCTCTTTTTTGCATCAACGTGGCCGAAGGTTTCAATAGCTTTAAATGAACCCCAAAAGGATAATTGTCGTTTGACCATTAACAACAAATGCTCATCACTCAATTCATTCCGAAATTAATTTCACCGGTCTAAATAAAGATGCATTAGATGTAATTGGAATTACTCTTACATTTAATTGCAAAGGAGCTTACAAGGCAAGTGCTTACACATCGAAGTGTGAGAGTGCGTCTAGAGATGCGTCTGTTAGCACACTGAGCTATGGACCTGGCGACCCAAGTTCGATTCTCGCTTACGGCCAACAACAGTGACAATTATTTGAACCAGTCCTGGACCTCCCCCCGACTCAGCCTCAGATTATTTCCTGGTGCGGTGTTTAAACATTACCACTGGAGAGACAAAGGCGGCCGGGCGTGGTGCTGGCCACCCACCCTCTTACAGTATGTGACGGCCTTCATACGTCCTCGCTAAAAGCACTTGCCCTAACAGTCTGGTAAAGGCTTTATGGGGGATCTTGGTCATTGCAGACATCTGAGACTGAAAATAAACTTTTGAAACGACAAACAATTCCAGGGAGTCAAACATATTTTTTCTTTACATCAGCCTCCAGAAAATTCTACAGGGGCACAAGATATCAAATTTTATAAACTTCATAGCAGGGGATCCTACGTAAAATATTGTTATAGACTGAAAAAATAAAATGCAATAAATCCAAACACTGCCATTAAAGATTCTTATTGTTGTTTTTACTGTTATTACTCGTGTTATTTCTGTGCAGAGCAGATCTCTTAAGTATTTTTCTTCTTGATATTACAAAAAAATAATAATCCCCCATGAATTTTGTAGGGGTAAGTAGCTATCCATAGTACTGTTTCGCTTGAAAGGGGGCCGGGAAATGAGTTCTCTACACAGGACTGGACAATGCAGTATTATTACTGTTTTATCCGGAGCTATTTCCCTGCAAGTGTGCGCGCGCGCGCGAGTCCGTACGCCGGCAAGTGCATGTGTGCGTGCAACGCCCACTGTATGTGGATCATCCGAGCGTCAGCACGGCCAGACGACAAGGCCAGGACACCAGTAAACACTCGTTCTTTCTAGTTTCATTTCCTCGTGTAGCCTCGGCACTACCCCTGACCTCCACGCACCCCTACCCCTCCCCGTTTATTTCTTGACAGAGTCATGGGATTCTCATTCAGTCCTCTATAACCCTTGTACATTCACACACACAGAGAAATAAATATATACAATGTTCGAGAAGGTGTTTGCAAATAGATTTTTTTGTCATTTTGCACGCGTGAGAGAAAAAAATGCTGGGCAAGCCGGGCATAACCCATGTATATTTTACACACAGATTGACATAAATCTACTAGCTGTACTTCCTCCTCGCTGCTTCACGGGCGCGTGTCTCAGGCGCGTGACTTCTGCGCGAACCACCTACCCTTCCTCAAAGTCTCCTGATTAAAGATGTGAGTCACAACACCCTGGGGGGGGGGGGGGAGGGGGGAAACTGCCTCCATACGTTACCAAGACGGACATAGACGGAGCTCAAAGCAGCACAGCTTCTTCACAGAGCGCGAACACTTCCTACGATCCTGGCTTGCAAAGCCACCCTAAGGGTGTCACTTATTATTACTACGACTGTGACTACTACTTTTGTTCTGCCAATCTCTGAACATAATCTTGTTTTCGCCCGCTGCGTGAAGAGAAAAAAGCATCCACAGCGTATTTTGCGGTGAATGTTCATTCAATGGCTTATATCTTGGGAGTGGTGGGATGGGGGAGGCTTTAATTTGCATGCTATATTTATTTGTGAGCCAAACTGCAGCCATAATAAAAAAAGACTTTAGCGGATCACGAGTGCCAACATCCTTCAGGCTTTCGGAAATTGTGTCTGAAGTTGCACATTCTCACTGCGACCTCCGCCATGTCAACCTCTCCGCGTCGTCCGAGTCGTTCGCGCCACCGCCGTTTTGTGCGTCAGAATGTCCCCCTCCCTCCCTCGCTCTCTCTCTCTCTCTCCTCGGCCCTAATTTCCTCAAGTGACAAAACACGGCAGACACACCCATCGGAGCAGCGGACACTGAACAAATTGTGTTCGATGTGGCCCTCCGCTGAATGGACATCTGTTACTCTGAAACGGGGCATGAATAGATGTGGCAATTACCCAATGAGAAAGGGGACAATCTATTGGGTACAAATTCTACTGAACCTTGCAATCTTTTGTGTTGAAATAAGAGGGCGAAAAAAATTGCAACCGTAACTATTTCAATGGCTATAGTTTTGTTTTGTTTATTATTGTGATGGAAAAAATGTAAAATATATATAATATCATGATCATTTGACAACACAAAGTATATACTCACCTCTGCTATTCATTGTTCATGCTGTGCGTAATATATCGAGTTAGCTCAGATCTGTCTTAAAATTAAATGCTAAATTGTTCCAAGCTCATGTGAGGAATGGGGAATGTCATCAGCAACATAAGTCCTAAGCCAGGGGTGAAAATTTAACATTTCTGTGACAGAGGACAGGTCGTCCATAAGATGAGCACTGCTGAGCTTCATGATGTGATTTAACAAATTATTTAGGATGGTGCTGCGTTAAGAATGGTGATGTTTCAGGCAACGGTCCTTCTTTAGAGCACATAGAGAAGCTATGTGCTGTAAAAAAAAAATCGCCATTGGCAGATATGTCGTTTCTTATATATTGTTTACGCAGTGTTATTGACAGACGCATTTTTACACGGTGATGGTCATGTTTCCAGGCATGATGGACTGATTTGATCATCTTTGAACTCAGGCTCTCACGAATGTGAACTTGGGAGTAGCTGTTGCTCTACCAACTCTACGTGAAGATGTTGCCATTCATGTGCACCAGAGTGCTGTGCTTTTTGGCGTGCAGCAATTTAGCCTGAGAGTGATTTGATCAATTGTCGGCATCCACAGTCGTGA